GGGTGAAAAAATGAAATTTTGAAATTGAAAATATTTTTTGAAAACAAGCTTAAATTTTTTTTTTTTTTGGGGGGGTGGCGGTGGTTGGGGGCAGATTTGAAGTTGGAAGAGAGTTTTGGAAAATGTTTTCCATAAGTTTTGAAGGGAAGTCATTTTCCTTAAATTTGAGGAAAATGAGTTGATTTGGAAAACATTTTCCAAAACATTTAACCCAACCAAACATGAGAAAATTGGAAAACATTTTCCGGAAAATGTTTTCCTTCATACCAAACACACCCGAAATGTCTCGTTAAACATATCTTGTTCTTGTGTCTTTCCAAAATCATGTTTCATGTGCTATTCTAGCAAGCTATGATGTACTTTTTTTTTTGTTTCTTGATGATACTAGATCAAATTGCATTGAGGAATATATTTCCTGTTCTCAATATCACACCAATATTGTTGTTATGACTCCTGGTATTCACTTATCAGCTAAATCATGTAAAGGGCTCACTTAGTTTCAGGAATGTCCACGATTTGTAAAGAACAAATTAACACTTCTAGATCCCTCATTTGTAGTTTATGAAAGGAAAAATATATGTTGCTTGAGTACTTCAGTTTTTATCTTTTCGTCTTTCCATTTTTCTTTGGGGTAAAAACATAGCTTGTTACTAGGCCGTTGCTATTGGATGACGTGTTATTCATGTAATAAGGACATGGTATTTAGATATTCTTGAAATATGTAGTACTAGTATAACAATATCCATGCTGGGTAGCTTAGATGTCGAGATATCAACATTTTCCCTTGCATTTTATTAGGAAACAAGGAAATGGTTGCAGGTGGAAGAAAGAGTTATATGAGTGCAAATCCACAAAAGAATATGCCAAATTAACAGATGAAAAAAAATAGTGTAGTAATGTGAAAATAAGAATTTTGAACTAGATTGTTCCCATGTTAGAATGGATGAGTGACCTTAGATAAGAGGGTATGAAGGACATAGATTAGGATAGAAGGTTAGTAGGTAGCAGTGAGCTGTCTTGCTGTCCATTCTTATTAGTAGTCACAGTATTGCTCTTGTAGTTTATTGTCCTCCAATTTCTATTACTACCTGTTGTTCCTTGTTATTGTTTTGTTGTAGTTCATGTTACTACTTTTCGGGACTGCTTTGGACTGTATTTCCTTGAGCCGAGGGTCTATCGGAAACAGCCCCTCTACCTTTGAGGTACACTTTACCCTCCCCAGACCCCACTTTGTGGAACTACACTGGGTATGTTGTGGTTGTTAGAATGGATGAGTGAGTACTTTAGATCCCTGCCAAATTCTCGTCTGCAATGTGTTATTATAGTCTTAATTGTGTGGGTTTCTCGCATGGAAGGTAATCGAGGCAACTCTGAATGGAAGAATATTGTGATAAGGGATAAATATTAATGTGTTTACTCTTTTGCTTATTGATAGCAATGACATGTTCCTAATTTTCCAACCTTCAGGGAAGCGCTCGGAGGCTTGTAAAAACTGCATTACAAGAAGCAGCAAAGAAAAGGGAGATGAGGTATTCTGATCTGAAGAAGATCGATCGTGGTGTTAGGAGGCATTTTCACGATGATATCTCAGTCATAGTTGTGTTTCTAGATTCAGATCTTGTAAGTAAGGCGAGCTCGTTGAGGGGCCCCTCTTTATCTCTGAGAGGTGGTGGTATGAACTTTCCAGCAAAAAGTTTGGCTCCCTGTGCTACTCCCATAGAACTCGGTACCACTTAAAAACTTTTTACTCTATTGTATACTCTGCTGTGTCCTCAAAAACTTCCTCGTGAGAGATTCGAAAAAACAATAGAAGGTACACTAATTTATTCTTTTGATGTACAATGTTATATTTAACATGGAACAGGTGCCTTGTTTAGTTTTCGAGCAGCAAAAGAAGAACGAAAGAATTTACTGTAGAGATTCTTTCTCGAGTATGAACATGTCTGCTTTAGTTCATATTCCTCTCTTACACACCCTTTGATTCTTTAGTTTCATCTTGTAAATGGTGTAAAATGACAGATGAAGAAGTATTCAACTGCCTCTTTCGTCTTCTTTCCATTTCCTCGTATTATAGTCGATACCTCAGAATTAGAAAGACAGTAGATGTTATATACTTGTTATCGATGCTTTCGTCCTACATCAACACGAGTATTTTGCTTGTTTTTGGAGTAATTTTTTTTGTTGCTTGGTGAATACTGATCAAAGGGATCAATGTTGATTTTTCTAGTAAAATCTCCATTTTTATAATTATGTTATTACCAACTATGTTGTTCAGACTGTTCAAAAATCATGACAAGGTGCATGTCGGATTCTTTAAAAGCAGTACTTTTTTTGAGTATTGACACAGGTACAACAACATTATTGGAGAGTCCGCAACACAGATTTCCAGAGCATTCATCTCTATGCATTTTTCACTGCCAGAATTGGCAGTAGTGTCCCATAATGTAATGGGCTATAATTATGATAGAGCACTGGTCAATGCGGATCGAGATAGGTAAGAGGTGTAAGCACCATGAAGTGTGAAGCAATCTCGTACTAAATGAAATGACTTTATATCTGGTGATTATGAGTTCTTTGAATACATTGGTCAAATCGTAGTATTTACACTAATTGATATTCATAGATTTTTTTTTTAAAAAAAAAAACTTTTCTTAAGAGTTGCTGGTCAAGATATAAAGCAATAATCATATAGTTTTTATACACCATGAATGTAAAAAATAGATAAATACTTTAATCAAATTATGAATATCTACAAACTATAGGTAAGTCTCCTCAACATGCTATTTTGTAATTTAAAAAATAAGTCAGACTACTTTTTGCTAACAAATAAAGGTGACTTGATAGTGTAAAAGTTCTTTATTTTGACGTTGTATAGTTACTTCAACCCATAAGTAGGGTGGTGATTGGGCGGGTTGGATCAAGTATGAGCAAGTTGAAAACGATCAATATAAAATGAGTAATAATTTGAGCCACCCATATTTCAGATGGGGTAAAACTGGCTTGGGTGACAAAATGAGTTGGATTGACGCATATTTTCATGAGTAAATCATATTCTGTTTTAGAATTTCATATTCGGGTAGAACTTCAGTAATCTAGATAACCGATTTGCAAGAAACATTCCACATTACTATTTATCTATATTACACTTGAAGTCTAATTACAATTCACCAAGATCCAACCTAACCCCGACCAAGGAACTCTGACCCTAGGAACCAACCTTAAGATCGTGAGTCGGATCCCAGGTCTTTGTTGAGAGCCTAGTCTCGGGTTGGGAGTAGGGTCCTAGTCGTGTACGGACTCTGAGTCTTGGGTCAGGAGATAAGATCGGCAGTCAGGTCCCTCTGAACTATTTCACGTCATCAACAAGTACTACTGTAGTTCCAAAAAAACAGCAGAACACTGAGACAAACACTAAAGAAGAAACACAACTAGCATTCCCAACTGGATCAACCTCTTGAGATGTTGAAAGTTGCAAATTGAGATTGATAAGAGTCTTGTCGAATTTAAATTTCAACGAAGATAAAAATACTAGGTGATTTCTTTCCCTCCATCCAAGCTTTAGTGATAGAGTTACTTGGTACTCGTGCTAGTGGAAGATACCAATTACCAGGTACTCAGTGGAATTAATCAAGGTACACTCAAGCTAGCTTATCAAAAATGAGTGTTGTCGAAAACCACTTTTAAGTGCAGCAACCAGACTGCTGTAAAAATATTATAACTAGATACATAATTTTGAGTATGATCAGACAACAAATCACGCAATTGCTTTTGTCCATTCCTTCACATAAAATGAAGATCACAGAACTAACAGCTGGAAAGATGCAACCTACAATGCAGTTACTCTACCAAAGAAAGATCTTGTTGAAGCCTCTCAACTAAATGTTTAAACTAAGAAACTTGCAGCCTCAAGATATCCAACTATTTCAGTAACAAAAGTCACCTACTAAGCAATTTCTCAGCTATAGAGCATTACAAGAGGATAAAATTCCATGCCCAGACTGAACAGCGCGATGATTATGGTCTCATCCAAAACAACACACAAATCATAGAGTTACTTGGTACTCGTGCTAGTGGAAGATACCAATTACCAGGTACTCAGTGGAATTAATCAAGGTACACTCAAGCTAGCTTATCAAAAATGAGTGTTGTCGAAAACCACTTTTAAGTGCAGCAACCAGACTGCTGTAAAAATATTATAACTAGATACATAATTTTGAGTATGATCAGACAACAAATCACGCAATTGCTTTTGTCCATTCCTTCACATAAAATGAAGATCACAGAACTAACAGCTGGAAAGATGCAACCTACAATGCAGTTACTCTACCAAAGAAAGATCTTGTTGAAGCCTCTCAACTAAATGTTTAAACTAAGAAACTTGCAGCCTCAAGATATCCAACTATTTCAGTAACAAAAGTCACCTACTAAGCAATTTCTCAGCTATAGAGCATTACAAGAGGATAAAATTCCATGCCCAGACTGAACAGCGCGATGATTATGGTCTCATCCAAAACAACACACAAATCCGTCTAAGAGGATAAACATATGTTTATCCTCTTAGACGCACAGCTTCACCAGAAAACTCGTATGTTCTGCAACTAATTAGATACAGTAAACCTATTCTTGCAAGACGTTTGCACGAAACATGAGGGTGCTGATACAAAAATACTTACTTAGTAGAAGTAGTGAGCAGTGAGCACTATACTATAATAGATTAAAATTCTTTCTACACAATGGTAATTGACTACAATGACCATACTGGAAAGTGCATATATGCCACTAAATTACATAGGCTTCCTCGATATACTGCATGTGATGGCAAACATAGAGGGGGAAATCCTTTTCAGTAAGTATGAAGAAATTAAATAACCTTATAACTATTTACCAGAGTACAACCACCTATAGATCCCGTCTGCACAATGGACATGAGCCATGTCTCAGCAACCATGTATCGATGCATGGTAGGTGAAACATGTGATGACATTGTGGCAAACATCTAACAGTTTCCGCCAGTTGAAAGTCCTGGATACATCAGTAATCAATCAGAACAATACAAACGGAAAAATAAATAGCTTTGTTTAACGTAATTTACCTGTAAGCAGACTGAACACGAGACTCTCTCCCCTGTATCATCCACATTGTTATCACTGCTAATTACAACCTTCGCGATCTTTTCCACAAAATGTCCAGACAAACCTTTTGCCCCACCTGTATCGAAAATGTTAGGCACCTCTTCATATGCAGTTTCAACAGCTCCCATCTGATCAACCACAAGAAAGAGTCAGCAAATGAAGAGAGCTTAAGTTGCTGTCAGAATTCCAAATGGCTAGAGTTATGTTACATGATACCTGATTTTGCACTGCACTAAGCATTGCTGGACCAATCCGTTCACGAACTAGTCTACCACTTAACAAGCTGGCTATTACATCAATCTGCACAAGTTCAACAGAACCATCATTAACCATAAACCTAAGAAGTATGTAACACATAGCTTGTGCACCTTGTGCGGGGAAGAGTGAGAAATGGACGAAAAACAAATCTTTAACTATTTGGATCAGGAGATTGTTTGTCATCGGAGTTTAAGTTCTATGCACTGGGAGTATAAAATATTATCAAGTCGCTTAAAAAGCAGTTGCACATAACTCTACTTAATAAGCATTTACTAGTAATGTGAAATCAAAGGTATATGATATGACATGCTATAACAAGTTTACGCTCTCAGTGTATTTCACTTAAATCCTTCCTCAATGTACTGATATCCGATGCAGACGTTACAAAATTACAAAGCTAAACTTTCAAAAGTATCAGTGTGAAAAGGTGCTATGTTGCTTACCAAATAAAGAACACATCCAATTCCGGATTCATCAGATTGCCATAGTAACAGAGATGACTCAAAGACCTCAAGAGAGAAAACAGCACCAGAAATGGCTCCAACCGCGGCACCTCTAATAAATCCACTTTCCGTTTCTTGACCTATCAAAGCTCCTGTCATTGCTCCTAATAACGTGCCCACTGCAAAAAAATCAATGCCACTATTATTACCTTCACATTCCGACTAAAAAGCAGTCACTTGTAACATTATCATCAGTTGAAACACAATCACCCGCGAATATGCAAATCACAACTTCATTCCATTAATAGGAAATGAGAGTCAACTTTCTTATTGAAAATTTTAGAATCTGTTTTTCTTTCAGTCCTATAACTATGTGCAATACGAGTTCGACTGAACCTAGTAACTTTGGTACAAAGTCTGTCTTTGTCTTAAGAAACCCACTCCATATATACAAATTATTATAATTTAGAATCCCGAACTCATAAGCTTCAAATCCTGGCTCTGCCTTGGGCTATCCGACTTTAGCTTATTAGCTCAAATGACAAACAAAATATTGAATCAAACATTTCACCTTAGTTTTTACTCAATCTATTCTGCTGGAATTTTGAAAATCAAATGGTACAACAGTAAAACCTATCCTTAAAATGCCAAAAATACTACTCCTTCCGTTTCACTTTGTTTGGCACTATTTCCTTATTAGTCTATTCGGGAAAAAAATAATGTAACATATTTGTATATATATCTCCTTTATGAATAGTTTTTATAACCACACATTACACTCATAAAGCTAAAATCTTGAATCTATCTCTGATTAAAGACAAACTCAATAATATCATACCCTAAATTCAGGGTGAAAACACAATCAACAAGACAGCTAGATTGAAAGTTGGAAGAGAAAAAGTCCAATAACCTTAGTCTAACCCATATCAAAAATGCATTACACAAAATTTTTCTTTGGTTTAGTCATAGATTTTGAAGTTGAAATTCAAAAATTTGAGAACTTCAAGTTGTGTTTGTATATACATTTTACTTTAGAAAAAATTTGAACTTTTTCGAGTAAAAGTGAAATTTCTCCCAAAAAAACTCACCAACCACAAAAATATACCCAATGTGATCCCACAAAATAAGATATCCGGAGGGTAGAGTGTACGCGGACCTTTCCACAAGTACAAGAAAGCACAGATAATAACATGAGGTCTCGACTTCGAGACGTCTTTGTTAACAGCATTTTACCTCCAATATGACACTTTCTGACGTGAATTCGAGTTTTATCAGACTCCAAAAATACAAGACACCAAGTAAGAAACCAAAACAAAAAAGAAACAATAGATATTAACATGACACAAACTCCAACAAAGGTAAAGTAACAAAAATTGAAGTACAAGAAACTACACAAATCCCAAAAAAGAGATCCACTCAAACAATAATCAAATATAAATTTTCAAAATTTGATCCAAAATCTACGACAAACCCTATTGAATAATCAAACCCCCCCAAAAAAAGAGAGGAAAAAGTCACAATTTAATACACAAAAATTGTAAATAAGAATTTATAATAGTATATACCCACCTAATGCAAAGAAAAATGTGAAAATTGCAGAAAACACATTCCCAATAATAGTAGAAACAGCAAATCTGAAGAAATCTTTGGCTCTTTCAATCAAATCCATCATACAAAATGAAGAAAAAATTGATGATGAAGAAGAAAAAGCACTTCTTGGATATGTGTAAAAATCCATTTTTTTTTTCTTTTCTTTACTTTTGCAAAGATTAAGAGAATTGTATAAGAAAACAGCTATATTATAGTAATAAATTCAATGTAAATATTGTATTGTGTGTAGTTGTATATATAAAGAAGTTAAGAGGGTGATGTGAAGTTGAAAAGAAACCACAAAACCAACTAGCATTTATAGCTTTGTTTGACACACTTCTCTCTCTCTCTCATGAGAGAAACAAAGAAGGTAATGAGAAAAAGAAAGTTTATATTTTTATTTATCGATTTGGTGTTCGATATCAATATTGAAAACAAATTAAATTTAGATTCATGTAGAAAAGTTTTATATGAGGATATTAGGGGGTATAATGTTTTCTAATAAATGTGTTTTTAGTCGATTTTGACAAAAAAATTTATTTTTTGTTTGATGTTCGATATTTGTATTGAGAAAAAATTGAATTTAAACTCATGTCGGAAAGTTTTATATTATGACGTTCGGGGTATAACGTTTTCTAATAAAAGTGGTTTTAGTCTGTTTTGTCAATTTTTTAATTTCTTGCTTGATGTTCGATATTAATATTGAGACCAAATTAAATTTAGATTCATGTTTAAAAGTTTTATATTAGGATATTAGAGGTATATGTTTTCTAATAAAAGTGTTTCTAGTCTGTTTCGTCAAACTTCTAAGAAGCCAAAAGTGTTTTCTTTTTCCTTCAAAATATGCTTTATTTTAGAAAAATAAGGTGTTTAGTTAAGTTTTTAGAGGAAAAAAATATATTTTTGAATAGTAGTTTTCCTTATTTTTTTTAGATTAGTTAGTCAAACATAGACAATGACTTTCTAAAGTTCTTTTAAAAAATAAAAGAAAAATATTTTTCAAAGAAGTAAATTCTACAAGCATAATATATAAATATGTCCTTAAACTTGGTTTCAAGTTTCAACTGACGTCTATGTTCTTTAACTTTGAGTGTGCATAAATAAACACTTAAGCTTATATAATGTTGAACAAGTAGTCACACGCGTCACAATACACGTAGGACACCACATAGAATGTCGTGTAGGACACAAATTGCTATATAAAATGCCAAATAGGATGTGTGCGTTACTTGTTCAATTCTATACAAATTTAAGTACATATTTGTGCACATCCAAAATTGATAAATAAAGATGTCGAATAAGACAATGTTAAAAAGTATATTTATGTATTATGTCTATATATATACTCGATATTCGAACTAGAAATTTCTGATTAAAATTTAAAAAATGTACTTGTTAATACATCATACTAGTGGTTTTTGCAAAGCAATTTGAATGAATGGGAATTGTCTTTCTTTTTTGACAAAAAATTGAATCTTTGCTTGTGGGTTTAAATGATACACCCAATTGAGGCAAGAAACTCACATGCTAAAAGTTTCACTTTGTCTCTCTTGTTTCTTTCATTCTTCTCTTTTTTAATAAATATTTTTCACACTTGAGTAGTATATTTTTAAATTATTATTTTTCCTCAAGTGTTTGGTACTATGTATTTAATAAGGGGTTGTAATTAATCTAAAATTATAATTTCAAAATAATTTAAAAGTCCATTATAAATGTTTTATTTCTTTATATCAAAAAAGAATTCATTTACTTAATTATTACACCACACATTTTGATGATTCGACCTAAATTTGTGCACACCTTTAGAATGAAAATGTTTTACTCTCCCCAATTTATTTTACTTGGCATGTTTTATTTTTCACGCTTTTTAAAAAATAGTAACCTATATTAATTAAATTATTTTTATTTATTTATTGATCTCAATATAATACCACACATTTTTTCATAATGTTAATTTATCTTCATGACATATATTGAGTAAGGGTAAATATGAAGACTTTCTCTCAGATGAGTTTTACTTATTTAGTATTGACTTAACACATTCTGAAAGAGCAATAAATAAAATGATCATTTTATTATATCACTTTTTGAATATAATAAATTTAATTTTGAAAAAATTAATATAGTTAATAATAAGAATAAATTGAAAATTAAGTGATAAATATCTCTTAATTTTTTTTTTTTTTTTTCAAATTAAACAAGTTAAAAATAGATATCTTTTTTTAGTATAATGAACAATTTGAATATTTTAACCATATCTTATTTTCTAAATAATAATTATTTGAACCATCTATTTTTAATAAAAAAACGACAAGTAAAATAGATCGATGGAAGCACCTTTTTAGGTGAGTTTATGCAATATTTAAATTATTCTAGCTAATAAATTGTAGACATAAGACACTTAAGAAGAAGAACTTTTGTATCCAAAAGGTAGATATACAATTTATGTATATATTATTTTATCTTAATCGTATTTATGAGATTATATCAGATATATTATTAGTGCGCACTTATAGAAGAAAGAATGATTATGCATATGTAATTTCTATTTTTAAGAGAATCTTTTGTTTATAGTATTCCTCGGTTTCTATTTTCATGTCGTCCTTATTAAAAATAGGTATTCCTTAATATTTGTCATTTCACAAAATCAATACATAAATGACACTATTCTTCCTATTTTACCTTTAAGAGTTATTAGTCTTAAAAGTATGAATTTGACTAACATAAAAAAACTAAGTAATTTATTCATCTTCATCGGTCAAATTAATTAATCGAAATATATTACTATTCATGTGCATTTATTGAAAACTTGACTTCAAGATAACACTAAATAAGGGTACAATGATAAAATTGTCTACTCCCTCTGTCCAACAATAGTTGTTCACAGAGGCGTATCCAGGATTTCGGAAGGATGGGTGCATGCATCTAAGATATAAATTTGATCACTTTGAACTTTACGTTCTTTACATTGAACGTTAAATTTTAAAAATTATAGGTCCAACATATATAATACTACTAGTTTTAAATTTTAATATACGCATTTGATTTAATTATATAAAAATTTTACAGTGCTATTTTTTTTAAGGAATTTCCAACGTAACACACTTCAAAATTTTGAAAGATTAAAGCAAAAAAAAACAAAGGAAAAAATGATTGAAATGCCAAAAGTGGTACCGATAACCACTTGGAGGAGTGTTGCTAAAAAAATAAGATAGATAAAAGATTTAAATTTCTATCTTTGCTTAGAGAGGTATACCTAGTCATCATCGTATTATTATATGCTACTTTTAACGTGGATTCACACCTCTATATTTAAATATTTTTTGAAAACTACAACACTACTATATATGATCTAGAGAGGGGAGAATGGGTTCACGTGAACCCACGGAACCCCCTTTAGAAACACCTATGGTTATTCACTATTGATTTGACACACCCCTTAAGAAATAATAAATAATAGGGGTAATATTACTATATTATCTTTTGACTTTATTTAATTTAATGTTTTGAAAAATGTGTTAGATGATAAATAATATTTAATAGCAAAGGTAAAATAGATACAAAAAGTAAATTATTTCTTGATTTTCTAAATTGGACAAATATTGATGGACAACTTTTTTAATATAGTGGACAACTATTATTAAAAGAAGAGAATAATTTTTTAAGAAACGTGAAATCTAAAATGACGACGGAGGGAGTAATATTATTTTTTCTCCCCATATTTGTTTAGTTTAAAAGAGGAGACTTTGTAGATGTGGTTGGGTGAGAGTTGGATAGATGTTTGTGAACTTTATGACATTACTAGTGGCAAAGATATTTCTTTTCATAAAGAGGAAGGACAGAGGATTATGTACTATGAACATAGGGAGTGATGCCCATTTATTATGTCCACTTGTCAAACAAATAGTATCCTAATTTTCGTATATCTCAATTTATATGACATCGTTTGAATTTTAAAAATATTTTCTTTTAGTTAATAATGCATTTAGACATATAATTCTTAAGATTATTGAAAATAATTTTACATATTTAGAAATTACATAAAAAGATTAAGAAACTTCAATATCTGTTATATATATATACGTAATAGAGTAATTTTAACCTTGTATATATATTAAATGAACTTATAAAGATCTATTGTGTTTCATTTATAATATTATTGTGTTGTTTTTATTGAATTATTATTAAATAAATTAATATTTGTGATGGATACCAATCAAATTTGATGAATTGGCCTACTTCTATGCACTTTTACTTTTTCTTCATCCAAATCCACCTTGCATTATTTGGGCGGTTTCATTTGTGGCCCCTAAGAAGAAAGAAAAAAGCGCACCCTTAAACCTTCATTTTCATTAATTAACAAGAAGAGAAATATTCCAATTTGAATTTTCCTATTAAATTTTGTATTAAAGGTGTGTTTGGTATAAATTAGTATTTGTTTGTTTGTGTAGTTCAATTGTAGTATTATTTGGTTGTAGAATTGTTCTGCTACTATTTGTTGTTTTGTTACTATTTATTGTCTCTTATACTTTCACTACATCTTTTTCTAGTCTGTTTTTGTTTTGAGTCGAGGGCCTATCGGAAATAGTCTCTCTACATCACAACTGAGGTAGAGATAAGGTTTGCGTATACTCTAAACTTCTCAGACCTCATTATGTGGGGAATACATTGGGTATGTTGTTATTGAAAGGGTATGTTTGGTATGAAGAAAAATATTTTCTTGAAAAATAAGTGAATTCTTTACTTATTTTCTAGTGTTTGGTAAGTAAATAAAAAAGAATATCATCTCATGAATATTTATATGTAATTTTGCAAAACACGATGAGGGTGGAATAGGTTAGGAACTGGAAGTGAGGTTAGGGGTGGGATCGTTGGGTGGATGTGGAGGAAAACAATCGATGTGAATGTCACTTTCGGAACTTATTTTTTTTATTTTCATTAGAAAAGTCATTATACTAATAACTTATTTTTTGAGAGAAAAATATTTATAAATTTTAACCAACCAAACCTAAAAAATATAGGAAATATTTTTATATTTTCCTCCCTACCAAACAAACTTTGATGAAGATTTTGTAGCTACCTACATTAGGGAAATGAATTAAAATACAAGAATGCTAATTAACTTATATTATAAATAAATAGTTAATGGAGTTATACTTTTGATCCCTTAGTTATTATTAAATTTTAATTTTAACTCTTATAATACGTACGTAAACAGAAAATATTATCCAAAAAGAACTTGTATATAATCTACATAAATATTATGG